TTTTCTCTTAATTATCATTTATTTATTCATTTATTGTGATTTTTTTAGTGTTTTATTTATATTTTTATTTACCATTACCTTTTCTTTTTTTCTTTTTTTATTACAAATGTTATTAATTAATTAATATATTTATTATTATTATTATTTAAAAAAAATAAAAATAATAATAATAATAATTATTATTATTATTATTCAATAAGATTTAGAGGTGAATTAGATTTGTCGTCAATACATTAGCATAGCTCGAATAATAATGCATACACTTTGAACACCTAGCAAAAATAGCACGTAGACCAATGTAATCTAAATAAAATTTGCATTTAATTGGCTGCCCACAAGTAAAACGTAGCTGCAAGCAAGTGGAAATACATACATGCAGCTAACACGGCCTTTTTGTGGGATGTCGACGACTTACACTTTATTGATAAAAGTCTTCCACTTCTCTTTTCTCTGATTGATGTTTGACAGTTTAATGGTTTCTGCGTGCTCCTCTTTTCACTCGTCAACTTCCTTACCATAGTCGCCATCGCAATGGACCGTGTCTTCATCGTCACGTCAGCGAAAGTACTCCAGACTCACGGTCGCCTCAGGGTCGGCATCATGATCGTATTTCTATGGTCGTTGTCCGTCGCTGTCGCGCTTTTGCCTGTCACGGAAATCGTCTCGACGATGATCTATGTCCACTACACCCGCCACTGCACGTACAAGGACGATGAGGAGGAGGACGAGCGGTTCCGCATTGCTATGCGGGTCATAATCATCGGTTTCGTACTGCCAGCGCTGACGGTTTGTTACTCGATCATCGCATATTTCCTCTGGAAGCAGAAGCAGAAGTTGAGGGCGCTTCAGCAGGCTGGGCGCACGCAGCGCGGGGAAATGAAGAAGACGAAGAGAACAGACGGAGTGAAGATGGCCTCTTCTACGACAACCACCACAGATGCATCGGGCCAATCGGTGAGTGATCCCTCGATGGCGGATTCGGCAAGTGTTGTGACAATCCGGACAAACACAACCTACATCAATCAAGACAAGGTCGTCCCAGAGGCATCGTGGAGCAGTACCTCACCCTCTGATCAGAAGGGAGAATCTGGTACTGATGTAGCTTCTGACGGGAACCGATGTAGGAGTGGGATCCAAGAGGAAAGGGTACAAGCTCCATCTACAACCGATAGCGCTCCAATGGCTGATGAAAGTGGCAGAAACAAAGCGGTCGATACCGCCTCCACTGTCAAAAGAGAGAAGAAAAACTTCGAGGTGCAGAAACGAGTGGCTCTCATAGGTAAGATGACGATATATCCCCATTAGCCCCTAACACCGTGGGTACTATTGCGACTGGTGTCTTCTTAAATTACAAATGCATCAAAGTATAAAATCCAAGTGGCAAACTCCAGGGGGGGGGGGGGGGTGAGATCATTTGTTGAATTGGGGTCATTTCACCAATAAATTATTTTTTAGAGCAGCTACAAAGGCTAAAACCCAGCGTCGGGTTTAAATTTGAGTATAAAGTGAAGGCCTATAATTATGTTTAAAGGGACTTGGTAACATTGTTTAGATGAGAGAAAAAGGTGCTAAGGTAGTGACCCCAATGCAAGCTGTACAATTACAGATAATCTATAAATTTGAGTGTAAATCATCACCAAGCAATGAATTGGCTCTATATACCATTCCACTATTTTCAGTGTTGAAAGACTTTTAAGCCAGTGTAATGTCTTATTTCATGGAAAAAACGGTTGGAAAAATTCAAAAATGGTTGAGAGAATTTACTGTTAGAGGGTTTTGCACAGTGACGCCTTCAAAGAAAACCATTAATGACTTAATTCGTGGTTTGAGAAATTTTTCAGGATTTAGTGCATGTTAGAAGGTAAGTACAGTAGAAGGAATATAATAAGTAACATTCCATACACAAATTACGCAGTTTTTTCATTAACCTTCAACAATATTACCGAGTCACTTTAATGGTTCATCGATGTCCATGGGCGTCGATTTTTACTGAATACCTATGGTTCGAGGATGGGGGGGGGGGGGGGGGGGGGCGGTGAATGAATAGAACCCCCCCCCCCCAATGGATAATAAGTATCAATTAAACATCTAAGTCCATGATCAATTGACAGAAGTTCAAGTAGGTTTCAATTTATGGTCCATATTGCTTTTAGCACACGTTACTATTATAGTCTGTTCATTTTTTGTTTTAAAACATCTGTTCATGGATGTTTCTGAACTAGAAGAGCGCCATCTGACGCTTCAACCCTCGTTATTACAAAAGCGAGATAAAAAAGGCAGAATGAACAGAGACGAAGGAGCAAAGCGGCAGATATAGAAGTTACTTCAGAGACGAGAGAGAGAGAGAAAGAGAGAGTAATAGAGAGAGAGAGAGAGAGAGAGAGTGATAGAGACAGAGAGAGTAATAGTAAGAGAGTGAGAGAGAGACAGAGAAAGAGAGAGAGAGAGAGAGAGAGAGAGAGAGAGAGAGAGGAGTCTGGAAGAGACGGAAAGATATTGTGTGTGTCTGTTTGTGTGTGTGTGTGTGTGTGTGAGAGAGAGAGAGAGATAGATAGAGAGAGAGAGAGAGAGAGAGAGAGATGAGGTGAGACCCGTAGAGACGACGAGAGATACGGTATATAGACGGGTGAGGAAGAGAAAAAGAGGAGTGGGGGGGGGGGGGGGGGGGAGAAATACAATACAGGGAATAGAATTGAGAGGGAAAGAGGAAAGAATGCAAAAGAGAGATGGACGGAGAAAGATAGCCGACGCGATCTGGGGTGGAGAAAGGGAAATAAACTAAAAGAGACAACAAATGGGACGAGCTTTACATGTTCAAGACCAACCCAATCCAGTCTTGAAAATAAATGAATCTTGAATATATATTATTGTCTTACGAACTGCTCTGCCGTTACAGGATTCCTTCTGGTGCTGTCACAGGTCATTTGCTGGGGACCGTTCTTCCTCGTTCGCGCCATGTCTGCTAATGTTCCCGAAAGTGTGGGTGTGTTCACTATGTGGTCAGCCTACTGCGTCAATGTCATCAACCCACTCATCTACGCATTCATGAACCGACGGGCAAGGAAAGAACTCGTCACCTTCAAAGACACCATCCGGAAGAAAATGCAATGCACGGGAATCCCCGATGAAATTTAGTTTATCAGCCATGACGCATACAGGAAAGTGGCACTTCCTTTCAAATGTTCCTGTAGAATTAGACAGCGCTGTATGGGATTGTTATTGCTTTATGATAGACATTACACATTTTCGGCTGTTTTATCTTTTCGAAGATTAATAACATTGATATTTTAGCTATTGCTATCACGGTTATATCTTTTAACTAATTTCATTGACACTGTCAATACAGACATTGTATAAATAATATTGGTTTATATCAATGATGTTGGTAAATTCGAATTTGTGAGCACGACAAAGGTTATATTAACTTGAAGGGACAGAAAAGGTTGGAAAACGGAATCATAGATGAGGAATATAATAAGTTATATGAATATATGTATCTAAGGAATAGGCCTATAAGGAATATCTAGCCAAAATATTTTCCACTGGAAAATCGACGAGACTAACATCTAGGTATCGTTTAACAAAACCGACATAATAACAAGTTAGCCGACAACCCACTGAAGTGCGTGTCTTAAGTTGACGTGTGTTATAATGGGACATCGGTAAAACTGTGAACCCAGACCGACAATTCCGTTATTAGACCGAATGGACGAGAAGGGTTCATTTTGGGATCGGTGTGTAGTCGGTTTGGTAACTGAGATGTGACTGAGTAATGTTCGAAGGTGCTCTAGATCTATTAATTCTTTGGGGAAAACCGTTTCATTGTACATGTTAATTCAATCAATAAAAACTGGATAAATCTACAATCGCAGTAGCCAATCAGTCAATCAATTATCAAAGAATGAATCAATTCAATTAATCAGCCAATTAATCACTCAGTCAATCAATTATCAAACAATGAACAATCACATTAACTATCAATAAATAAATAAATCGATCAATCAATCCATCAATCAATCAATTCGCCAATCAATGAATATTGCAGTCAATGAGTTATTAAACAATCCATCCATCAATCCATTCATCATTCTTTCAATCAACCAACCAACCTTTCAATCAATTATTCAATCAACCTTTCAATCAATTATTCAATCAACCTTTCAATCAATCAATCAACCTTTCAATCAATCAATCAATCTTTCAATCAATCAATCAATCTTTCAATCATCTTCATTCAAGCAATCAATCCACCTTTCAATCAATTAATCAATCAAACTTTTAATCAAGCAATCAACCTTTCAATCAACCAATCAACCTTTCAATCAATCAATCAACTTTTCAATCAACCAATCAACCTTTCAATCAATTATTCAATCAACCTTTCAATCAATCAATCAACCTTTCAATCAATCAATCAATCTTTCAATCAATCAATCAATCTTTCAATCATCTTCATTCAAGCAATCAATCCACCTTTCAATCAATTAATCAATCAAACTTTTAATCAAGCAATCAACCTTTCAATCAACCAATCAACCTTTCAATCAATCAATCAACTTTTCAATCAACCAATCAACCTTTCAATCAATTATTCAATCAACCTTTCAATCAATCAATCAACCTTTCAATCAATCAATCAATCTTTCAATCAATCAATCAATCTTTCAATCATCTTCATTCAAGCAATCAATCCACCTTTCAATCAATTAATCAATCAAACTTTTAATCAAGCAATCAACCTTTCAATCAACCAATCAACCTTTCAATCAATCAATCAATCAATCTTTCAATCAATCAATCAACTTTTCAATCAATTAATCAATCAACCTTTCAATCAATCAATCAACCTTTCAATTAACCAATCAACTTTTCGATCAATCAATCAATCAATCAATCAATCTTTCAATCAATCTTTCAATCATTCAAGCAATCAATCAACCTTTCAATCAATTAATCAAATCAATCTTTCAATCAATAAATCACAAATACTCTTTGACAGATAATAGTTAAAAAATATTTAGTAGAAATTGAAGATACTTGACTTATTATTACGGGAAACTAGAATGGACAAACGAAATTAATTATTTGATAAAAGGTATCAGTCACTACAATTAAAGTTGACCTCGGTCAACTAGATTCCAAGACTGGTCCCGAATGTCCAGTCTACTTCTTATGCCCGCTGGCGCCTCCTCTAAAGTAGTTGCCCTTGCTCCCCGCGGACTGCATCTTAGAGACCGTGCTGCCCGCTGGAACTTTGCCACCGTGATCCTACGTAGTGCAGGCCATTTGGTCAGCTGCGGCCGTACCGGACTTGATTCCACCGGGCCTGTAGCCCAAACGGTTGGCTCCAGCGCTCACCTGTGATGGTGGCTGTTTCGAAGACATATTGTATCTGTACAAGTTTCAAAATTGTTGAAAAAAAGAAGTACACATGTTGGCAAAATGATGAAAATTGAATTGGGGGGGGGGGGGGGGGCAAACAGAGACTTATTTTTAGAAGGCTGAGTTCTAGGTATTAAATGTGAAAACATATTTATCAAACCTTTTCGTTCTTATTAATATCTTAGTGTTAATTTTTTTTTATTGCAGTAAGATAAAATATCCTTGATCTTAAAAAAAAAAAAAAAAAAATCGGTATTCTGAGAATCAGTTTTGCGAGATTTTATCTGGATGCAAAATCACACCCCACCACTTATTGCAAAATAATTGAAAATAAGCTCCACAAACTAGCCTTTGTTGACAAGAGTAAGAAATAGCTTTTTTCTCAATGGTTTCTATGTTTGCTCCAAATAATTTTACATATTTGATAATTAATAAACTCACATTTCTTGAAAAAATTGAATAATGAGAAATTATATAATCACCGTACTGAAAAAAAAGATACATCAAGTGGCTATGCTTTATCGCCGGATGAAAACGAATTATGGATTTAAAAAATATAGAGACTTTCTTTATGAGAAGGTTAAAGGAGATTTAACTTCAAACTACATTTCAGTGTGTAGGCCATTTGAAACATTATCTTAAAAATATAAAAACATCGTATATTTGACGAAAGGGAGGACGTAACTTTTTTCAGAATCGGCTTCGTCTTTCGCGGCTCTGAGAATCTTTAGAAAGTCGCCATTGTGTTTGCGCACGCCCGGCGCTCTGTGACGTATCGCACGGAGTCGCTATTGCGTACGTACGTTTCCCTGCTGTAAAATGTAAAATGATCACTGCAGATCACACTGTTTTTCTTGTCGTAATCTTTTTTGTCCAGATATTTCTCCACCGTAGAGCTACTACTCATAGCTCGAATATTTCATCGCGATTGTGTGATTATGGAAACCGATAAAACGATTTCCTCTTGATTTTCGAGGAACATTTATTACAACCAAACATTTGGCAGTACACCATGTTTGAAGTGTACTGCATAATAACGTGCGCGCTGCGCTACATCGGTTCTCCGTGCGATATACGTCACAACCCGGAAGTTTTTGAAGGGAAGACAAAATGACAGTTTCCTTGGGAAGCAGACGATGTCGTAAATATGGCGAACTAGGATTTTTATATTGTACTTGAAAGACGATATTATTTGGCCTAAAGCAATGCTCTTTACATCATATGAAACGTTGGTTTACTCTCTACTTAATGCTTTATAGTCTGGAGGTTAATTCTCCTTTATATACAGTCATAAACCACTGGAACCCAAAGATAGGGCTATTCCATCACTTTCTATTTCATAAATCATTTTTACCATTAATTAAAAGACCACCCCAATTTCAGGGCAATATGAAATATGAAATAAATGGAAAGTCTCTTCATTAAAGGTTGTCTTATCTTCATGGGAAAAAAGAAATGATTTTACTTTGCTGATATAAAGATAAAACAATGAAAATAAATACATAGATATTCTCTTACCTGTGCAGACGATTTGCTCCAGATGATGTCAAAAGAAGTCTACCAAGACTGCTTTGTTTCATGTTGAAATAGAAATTGATGTAAAAATATATGTAAGAATTTCAAAGTGTCTACATCCGCCGTACGTTCCCCGACCTCCTCCACCCAAATGTTGTCTTGACTGCACTATGGATGTCTTTATATAGGGCATCAAGGCGAGGTGCATCCAATTCACCACGCCCACTTACTGAGAAATATTAACTCGCCTGTCCACTCAGAGCCCGCGTCTTTATTTCATCGACCAATCAGAAGTGTTCGTATATGATGTACCCCAGGGGCTTCAAATATTATTTCGCAATACACTGTGATCTCGCCCTGGCAAGGTGTCTTTATTGCAACATTTTGTTACGTCAGTGACTGCAGTTGCAATAGATTGCGACACCGTGACTTTAAAGAGAAGGTTGGGAATTATTTGTGTACCTCAGTTTGGAAGAATAAATGTCTCATTAAATTTGGCTATTCGGATGCCCTTATTGTTCGAAACATCATGATAATCAGCTGACAGGTTTGGACCACACTTTAAATTCCCTATAGCTTATCCGATGCAAAGGGAGATACAATTATAAACAACGTTTTTTATCCGTATTTACGAGGGAAAAAAAGACCTCTTTTTGGTAAAGTGCCTTTAATAGACATGATAGATAAAACATCAATATCATGTGGATTCATGCCGAGCTTTTCACCGGTATGTTTGTTATGACAGCTATTGAAACTTCCTGATCACAGTCATGAAGTGCATTGTTTAACGTCCCCACTTCCTTTCATCCCTTCCAAACTGTGAATCGTATAACGTTGTAAGAAAGATGCATGGTTTGGCAAGTATGAAACAGATTGGAATATATAAGTTCAATGCATGCGAAAGTGTTTTAGAGTGCTCGAGCCCCTCGCTACCTTCACCAAACCACCCAATCAACCAATCTATCAACCAATTAATCAATCAATTACAGAAAGAAAACTCAAGACCCAGCGTCGGTTTTAAATTTTATTAGAATTGGGACCACTACCTCTAAGACAACATGGTCAAGAAGGCCTATAATTTTCGTTAATGGTCTATCAATACCATGGGCGTCGATCCTTATTTAATATTTATTGTTCAAGATATAGAGGGGGGTGAGTGAATATATACCACCTCCTCCGTGAAAAATAGGTATCAAGATCTACGCCCATGATCAATTGGCAGACATTCAACTGGGTTTCAATATAATATTCCATATTGCTTTTTTAAGCACACGATACTATATACATTAGAGTCTGTTCATGGATGTTTCTGAACTAGAAGAGCGCCATCTGACACTTCAACCCTTGTTATTATAAAAGCGAGATAAAAATGCAGAAGGAGAGGGACAGAGACGAAAGAGCAAAATGGCATTTACTCCAGAGACGAGAGAGAGAGAGAGAGAGAGAGACAGACAGACAGACATAGAGAGAGAAAGAAAGGAGTCTGGAAGAGACGGAAAGATATTGTGTACGTGTGGGTGTGTATGTGTGTATGTGTGTGTGTGAGAGAGAGAGAGAGCGAGAGAGAGAGAGAGAGAGAGAGAGAGAGGAGACCGGAGGAGACGACGAAAGATACGGTATATAGAGGGGTTGGGAGAGAAAAGGAGGAAAGGAAGAGAAATACAACAGAGGGAGAGAAATTGAGAGGGAAAGAGAAATAATGTGAAAGAGAGATGGGAGAGGGAGGGGTGAGGGAGAAGGATAGCGGGTGCGATCTGGGGTCATGGAGATAAGGCAATAAACTAAAAGAGACAACAAATGGGACGCGCTTTATATCTTCAAGACCAACCAAAATCCAGTGATGAAAATAAATGAATCTTGAATATATATTATTGTCTTACGTACGAACTGTTTTGCCGTTACAGAATTCCTTCTGGTGCTGTCACAGGTCATTTGCTGGGGACTTTTCTTCCTCGTTCGCGCCATGTCTGCAGACATTCCCGAAAGTGTGGGTGTGTTCACTATGTGGTCAGCCTACTGCGTCAATGTCATCAACCCACTCATCTACGCATTCATGAACCGACGGGCAAGGCAAGAACTCGTCACCTTCAAAGACACCATCCGGAAGAAAATGCAATGCACGGGGAATCCCCGATGAAATCTGATTCATCAGCTATGACGCATACAGGGAAATGGCATTTCCTCTCAGCTGTTCCTGCAAAATTGGATGGCACTGTATGGGATTGTCATGGCTGTATGAAAGAAATTACAACGTTTTCGACCATTTTATCTTTTCGATGATTAAGTTCATCGATATTTTAGCTATTACTATACGGTTACATCTTTCAACTAATTTCATTGACACTGTCAATACAGTCATTGTATAAATAATTTTGATAAATATCAAAATTGTTGATAAATTTGAATTTGTGAGCAACGACAAAGATTGTTTCAACTTGAAGGGACAGAAAACGGTCGAATACGAAATCATACACAAGGAATATAATAAGATATGTGAATATAATATAAAGAAATACTGTATAAGGAATTTCTAGCCAAAATATTTTCGACTGGAAAATCGACGAGACTAACATCTGGGTATCGTTTCACAAAACCGTTTAACTTGTACCAACAAGTACAAGTTAGGCGACAACACACTGAAATGTGTGTATAAAGGTTAACGTGTGTTATAATGGGATGTCGGTGAGCTTGTGCATAATTATGAAGGATTCGTGAAACGGTGCCTAGACCGACAATACGACGAACAAAACAATCCATTATTAGCCATGCTTTTTTTTCTTTTTTTTTCTCGATTCCACAACTATGTTTTACCACTGTGCCAATCTTAAATGATTTTTTAAATAATTGTATAATCAATTGTCGTATCTTTGGTTAAAATTATGTTATTGAATTTGTATATGTTATTGCATATTCATTTGATTATGTTATATTATGTGGAAATAAAGAAGGGTTCAGTTCGGAGTCGGTGTGTTGTCGGTTTGGTGACTGAGATGTGACTGCATAATGTTCGAAGGTGGTCTAGATCTATTAATTCGTTGAGGAAAACCGTTTTATTGTACATTGTACATGCATGTTAATTAAATCAATAAAAACTGAATAAATCTACAATCGCAGTAGCCAATCATTCAATCAATTATCAAAGAATGAGTCAATTCAATTAATCAGCCAATTAATCACTCAGTCAATCAATTATCACACAATGAACAATCACATTAACTATCAATAAATAAATAAATAAATCAATCAATCCATGAATCCATTCGCCAATCAATGAATATTGCAGTCAATGAGTTATTAAACAATCCATCCATCAATCCATTCATCATTCTTTCAATTAATCAACATTTCAATCAATCAATCAACCTTTCAATCAATCAATCAACCTTTCAATCAATCAATCGATCAACCTTTCAATCAATCAATCGATCAACCTTTCAATCAATAAAGAATCAGTAATAACGAATGCCTAGAAATCTTAAAAGAATTAAAACAGAACAAATCACCTGGAAATGACGGTTTTTCTTCAGAATTTTATCGTACCTTTTGGCCGGATATTGGAGATTTATTTAAAGATGCCTTGAATGAAGCATATAGATTAGGAGAATTAGCATCGTCTCAAAAACAAGCTGTAATTACGTTAATCGCTAAAGATGGGAAAGATCCCTTTTCACTGAAAAATTATAGACCCATTTCCCTTCTTAATGTCGATTATAAAATCTTAACAAAAATTTTGGCTAAGCGAATCAAGAAAGTATTAAATGAGATCATTATGAGAGATCAGGTGGGCTACATGAAAGGGAGGAATATTGGTGAGGCCATTCGCATTATAGATGATATTATTTTTTATACATCCCGTTACAATTTATCTGGTTTTTTGTTAGCTGTAGACTTCGAAAAAGCTTTTGACTCAATTTCACATCAATTTCTTCAAAAAGTTCTGTCGTCATTTGGTTTCGGTCCATCCTTTCAAAAGTGGGTTAAAGTTTTACACACGAACACTCTAAGTTGTGTATTAAATGAAGGAGGGTCCACTGGTTATTTCAAAGTAGAAAGGGGAGTAAGACAGGGAGACCCTCTTTCTCCGTACCTCTTTATCTTGTGTATTGAAGTATGGCACACAAATTACGAATAGATAAATTGGTGGACGGAATTAATTTTGGAGATAAGGAAACTAAACTAGTACTTTATGCGGATGATATGACAATTTTTGTTCGCAATAAAAAATCAATTAATAGGTTAAAAGTATTATTTGCAGATTTCGAAAAAATTTCTGGACTGAAAATAAACAACGACAAGACTAAAATATTAAAGTTAGGTTTATGTCAACGTTTAGATTGTGATTTTGCTTTTGGCGAAATAGTTGACTTTCTTAAGGTTTTAGGGATTTTCTTTTCCCTCGATGAACACAAGAAAGAAGATCTAAATTATAAAGAAATCTTAAGTAAAATAAAAACACTTTAATATTTTTGGAAGCAAAAGGGATTTAACACTTATGGGTAAGATTCAACTATTGAAGGTGCACATTTATTCTAAAGTTCTTTATGGGGCGTCACTTACTCCTGTTCAAAAATGGGTTTATTAATTACTGAATGAATTAACTTTTGATTTCATATGGAAAGGAAAAACAGATAAAATCAATAGAAACACCATGTTCTTAGACTATAAGCAAGGGGGGTTAAAGATGTTAAATTTTTCGGCACAAGTTAAATCGCAGCGAATTATGTGGATTCAAAAACTTCTAAACAAAGATGAAGACATGAAATGGAAACAATATTTTAACTTTGTCACTGAACACGTGGGTGGAGATTTGATATTTTCATGTGACTATATATCAAGTTTATTAAAAGTGACAGCTCCACAATTTTATATGGATTTATTAGACGATTGGGTGAAAACAAGACATATAAGGAGTATAGACATTGGTGATGTGGTAATTTTTAATAATAAACTTATTCGATATAAAGGAAGTTGTATACACGATAAGAGGTTGTATGACAAAGGAATTTACAAATTAAAACATATTCTGGAAAACGATGGTAAACTAAAATGTGACAGGCATTTTATCGATTTAGGTGTTGAAGTAAATGAAATTGAAAAGATCAAGCACTTTTATGCCTGTTTACCAGTTTGTTGGAAAAATAATTTTAGAAAGGGAGAAGAAAAAAA